TTCTGGTTTGTTTGCTCCTAATAGGTGATCAAATTAATTCACTTTATTATTCAATTCGACATGATAAAATGTCCTTTATGGATCAAGGGGTTCGACATTTTGCATAAGGGCAAATATTCTGAAACTGCATCTTCAGTGCTCCTGTCTATTTCTGGCTTTTTTTTTATTTGTAAGATATATAATGATAGATTTATTATTTATTGAGACACGCTGCTTTTTTATTGTGGGTGTTCATTCACATGGAGTTACTCCAGCACCGTATAATTTACAGCGCCAAGAATGTTATTTAGAATACCTAAATTGTAAACAAAGTAAATTAATTTCTTGAAGTTCCCTAAATGCGAGGCATGTTTCTTCTGTCACTGCTGTGTTCCTCACCTGCTGGTGACTGGTGCTCTACAGACAAGGTCCTGGTGACTATACAGACTCTAAGAATAGGCTCCATTAAAACACGGAACTAAGGGCAAAACAGGACACAAGTCTGGCCCAATCAGTGGTCTGCACTGGCCACTTCTAACTTGACAAACACTGATGAAATGGGGAGATATCAGGGACCTGAGGGAAAGGAAATGTTAAAGAAAAGCAGGGCACAGTATTGGCAAAATAAGCTCACAAAACAAGCTTCATTTGGTGGCATATCTATTTTTACCTTGTTCCATTATTTCAGGATTCATTTCTCTCGTCTTTGCCCTTTTGAGCAAGCCAGTCCTCTTCAGCACAATTTACTGGATCACCGTGAGTCACTGACACAGCAATCCAGTTCAATTAAGTCACTTCCTAAAACGGCTTCGCTTGTTTTCCCCCATTTCATATCTTAAATGGATGTGATGAGTTTAAACGGTCAATCTGTTCAAGCACGAAAATCAAATATAACATCGTTTATAAATGGTTAACAGTTGCTGATCCATTTCAAACGTCTCCAAAACAACACGTGGAATTAAACCGCACCATATTTTCTTGGCTCACTGGTGCGCTACAGAAAGAAAATCAGCAAATAACAGGGGCTCTACATTTTGCATAACAGCAAATACTCTGAAGTAATTCTGTAACTGCATCTTTAGCGCTCCGGGCTATTTCTGGCTTCCACTAGTTTCCCGCCTGGATGACGTCAGTGCAAAGTTATTTTCATGAATGGAGGGGGCGGTCACGAGGAATCGGTGACGTAAGCGCTTGCGGAAGCAGCGAGTGGAATGTTGATACATTGTTGTTGTTTTGTAGCCGATCGGGAGTTCTGAGACGGCTCGGGCCGAGCGCTGGCAGGTCTGTCCCGGTGGAACCAACCCCAGCTCGTCCGCGGACACCGCGAGGCGTCCCTGCGCGATCCCGACACACACGGTCCGCGCTCACAAGGTGAGGGGACGGGAGGGGGGGGGGCGACATGTTTTGAAATTCCTCTTTAAGTCGCTTCTGTTTACATGGTGACGGACTTGCGCTCCGGCGGAGAGCCGATGAGGGGTCCTGGTGCGTCTTCGGCAAAACGGGACCGAATCTTCCCAATTAAGCATCCTTTCGGTAGCAAACGCTGGGTGAAGTAACGAAATGTGTGTGTATTTCTTAAAGATTGGGATAACATTTCATACTCTAGTGGTGACTCACCAGTGAGTTTGAACACGTGTTAGCAACAAGGCGAGTTCAGTATTAATTCCTAAAGCTAAATGTTGCAAGTGAGTATATCTGCTGTTTGAAACAATCTGATATTCTATACTTTATAAATAGCCTACTGACTGTATTTAGCTCCAAAAGTATTTTTAAATAATAGCTCATAATACGCATGGGGGTTTGCAGTCTACTGGAACACCAGATTATAATATAGCCCACACGGTCGGAGATACTAGTGGGCTGTGAAGGTGTTGCGAGACCGATGCCCGTGCGGTCGCGAGAGAAGAGCACGTGCGCCCGTGCGGAGCGGCTGCTGGCACAAAGGGCAGGGCGGCGCGCGCCGTGGGTCCGGTTACGGATTCGGCTGGGGGGGGGTGCGTGGGTTCGAGTGCAGGATTTTCTCCCCCGTGAACTAAGTGTGGGACAAGAGCGAGTGGACGGGGGCTCTACTGGAGAGGATCCGCGCCCGGAGCTCGCTGCGCGTTTTCTTGCTTGTTCTGTTACGCATGAGCCTACGGTCCCAGAAAAAGAAACGCAGCTCAGTGATTAATCTTTTGCCGTTCAGTTCATAATTTGTTCCGATCTCCCAGTCATTTTCCTGACAGCTAGCCTCCCTTCTCAGCCCGGTCACCGATGAAGATGATAACGATGATGCATGTGCTGTAACTTTGAAACGCCCCGATCACAGATCATTCCGACGCACTTGGATGCTTCACGGACGGAGCTGTCAGACACATTAAGCTTCACAGTGTAGAATCGAAGTAGTTTCACCTTGGCGACAGATGAGTAAACGCGTTTTTATACGAATCCGAATATGAGCTTTTTTTTTTTATTAACGAATGAAAATGATTTCAGACCTGTTGCTGGTCATTTTTAAAGACGTCCCCCACCCCCCTACAGAGATGATGGGACGACGCAGACTGAGCGTGTGCGGTGTCTGAATTTGAAAGCCCGACAACTTCAGGTTCAAGCCCAGATCGTGCCATTCCTGGGGGAGACAGCGTTCAGCAAAGGAACCTGTCGGATCAGCCACATATTGGAGCGACTCCAGCCACGCGAAGATTTGATAACCTTGAGATGGGCGTCGTGTATATGAAATAACAGAGCTTTAAATTCTTTGTAAAATTTCCAACGTCACCTTGCAACTATTTTGTTTATGGTTATATCGTAAAACGAAGCTACTCTGTAATTTCCCCCCATTTTCTTTAGAGATTTAATACTTAAATGCCGATCCTACTTTGCCGATAGCGGGGACAAGGCGAATAACACCCAGAGTTACCGCAGACCACAGTACCTGGAGCAGTGTTCAGTGTGAGAAGGGTCTGTATCTTCGTGAGTATTGCAGTTTGAGGGGGGTTTACTGGATAATCAAAGCTTCCTCTGAAGCTGAAAGCGCAAATAATAAAACCATTAAAATATCTTCACCTGCCCTGGAAGTAAAGACATTTAAAAATCAGTCTTTCACATGAGTATTTCGAAGACGACCATGCCCGTGGCCGTTCTGCTTGCTAATGGGGAATCCCACGCATGTGCGCCCAAGAATAGGCTGTTCTTGCTATGCAGTCCAGTACTGAGCTTCTCTATACCAGTGCGAGGGGTTACACCCTGCTGTTTAGGAAAGGTGAGTCATAACTGGTTATTGTGAATCACTTCCACTTTGGCAGATAACAGATCTGACTTTGGCTATTCCTTAAAAAAAAAGTAAAGACGCCACGTTCTCTAAAAATACATCACCTCATACCCTTAACCTGTTAGTAATTAAGGATAGGTGCCGAGGTTGAGCTCTTTGGTGCCGTTGGCAGAAAGATCTAACGAGCAAGGAAGGCTCAGCAGGATAGTCAAGATCAGATTAACGTTAGAGGGAGCTTGGGAGCCATCGGAACTGTGCGCACACACCTTTGAAAGAAGATGTCCCAGTTTCTGGTGCATTTTGGAATTAATTTTAATTTGACCTTATCCTGCCTACAAGAATGTGAATTGGCCCTTTCTGCTGACAAGGCTGTGTTTAGGTGAGCGGTCCTGGGATTTTGCAGTCCTTCTGATCCTACAAATAGGGAATAAATAAGAATCGGACACAGACAGCAGTTGGTGAATTCAACTTGTTTGGTGAGAGAGATCGGAATACCTCTACGTAACGTAGTCCAGTCTGGTTTGTTTGTGGGGCGGTCATCGATGAGCTCCTGTGATAACCCGTCTTGATTCCTCTGCCTGGCACTTGCATACTGTGCAGTAAAGGGTAGGGTTAGAAAATGAGATATGGCTCTGAGCCTTGTTAATGATCGATTTAGGGGAACTGCTGTCTGTGAGGGTAGTATGACGAAATCTTGAGTGATTATGGAGGAGGAAAATGGAACAGACTGTTCATTTCCAGGCAAAGAAGCAACATCTACAAGCCTGACAAAGATGGCCTGAAGGTGGCCAGGTCCTCCTCCTATTCAAGATGGATCAAAAGGAGTCAGGTTGGGACCCTCTGCTCATTTAATTGTGTACTAATGATCCATGCCATCATTCATCAAGAAAAGGGCTAGTGTTATTTAAAAATATACTTAAATAATTGATTGTATAATCTCTTAATCTGAGAACTGCCGAAGAGCAGTCTCCACCCAGGGGAGGTTCATGTGTAACATCATGTCTCTGGATCCATTAGAGACTCAATTATGGCTATGTTGTAAGCTGTAAAAAAAAAAGTACATATAGAATTAATGTTGGCTGTGGCCAGGACTGAAATGTGGCTCGGTAGCATCAGTCTCTGTTTCTTGGATAGATTATAAATGACCAGTCAGATATCTTTAAAATACCATTTGGAATACAGACACATCTGTTCTTAAACGCAGAGGGCGCTCTGATTATTAACCCCTTGTTTAATTGGATGGAATTCTATATGAACTGGAATCCAGGCAGGAGGAGTATCTTTCTGCCAGTCTTGTATCTCTCGGAGTGGGAAGATGGAAGTGGTTTTGACAGAGAGTGCTGGAAGAAACAAAGCCTTGGATTTTCAGCATCAATGTTGAAATTCAGCGGGCACAAATCAAAACATCTTTTGGCAAAGTTAATTTTGTTTAGATGCTCAAATCATTTTATGACGGAGTGTTTTTGCGATGGAAAAATGACTGAGGAGTATTTTCAAGTTAAGGTTGCGTACAATATCTCTGGCTTGAAGTCATCTTGTTAAATGGCCTTTGCAGTCCTTAGTAGTTGTACAGCAAACATTTGGCACGTGACCACAGTTTCCCAAAGAAAAAAACAACTTTTAAATACATTTATGCAAGCTCCATCTATTTTGCTAAAGCACATTGTTTTAAGTTACAGTTGTGCATGATTTGCAAGTATGCCAGAGCATTTGTCTAGAGAGCTACCTTCAAGCAAACTGCTACTTGAAAGCATCAGCAGAAAGTTTTACACCACTTCTTCTCTGATCTCCATTTCTCTGGCCACTTACATGAGCACCAGTCAGGACACAGAGTGTTCCATTGGTGTCTCTCAGAGACAATGGTGTGGATTGTGCTTCCCAAGACCGGGCAGGCTAGTATGATTTCAAATTACAGCTTGGAACTCAGTCCGTTTCAAAACTGCAAGCAATAAAGCTCCTATCGAAGGAGCCGCGTGGGTATTATCTAAACTCTTTTCCTAGGGTAACCGTTTTGAATTTTATTTCAAATCTGGCCCTTGGCCAGGTTTTTTTTTCATACAGCGAAGCCGTTTGACAACTCCCCTAACGTGGGTGTTGAAGTCATCACCTGAGGTATATCGGCTGGGATACCCTCCTGCTGAAAATGCATTGACTTCTAACCACTTCGGAATTCCACAGGAATACTGTTATGTTGTGTAGTAGTCTAATATTGTGTAGAAAGAACAAGATGAACCTTTTCTATAACTATCTGCCTGTGGGTCTGTTGTGTTTACTGTATATTTCCTTAATGTTTCTCACAAGAAACTGACATTAAACCACAGTTTTTTCCATTTCAAGCTCCATTAAACACAGTATTTTAATGCCCCTTAAATAGAAAATTCAGGGCCAAACAGACTTTTTAGAGATCAGCTTCAGGAAGTATATATACGTATGCAGGTCCCAAGACAAAAGTGTGAATTAAGAAGAGATTACACTTTTATACAGGTCATAATGAAACTCCAGTGTGAGGTGAAAGCACAGCTTTGGTTAACAGAGAAACTCGTAATAAGCATATGTAGCAGTCTTGTGGTTTGACGGGGATTGAAAAACTCATAGTGATTCGGAAAGGACAGTTGTTAAGCGCTAGATGGAAACAAAAAGCACAAAATATTGAAGACAGAATAGCTGTAATTTTCATGATAACTTCCTACTGGTGTAGCTGTTATTGTGTTCATCCAGTCCATTTATAACTTCAGGTTTTACAGTTCTGTGATGTCGTATTGTAGCTCAAGAAAGCCAATGTAATTACTTCTCAGCATTCACATTTTTAAAACTAAATTTGTCTAATTGTGTACTGGTACATAGATATTTTATTGGAATTCCACGGGAATGCTGCTGTGGTGTGTAGTCTAGTATTGTGTAGGATTAACAACTTTTCTGTAACCATCTGCCCGTGAATCTATTGAGAAATAACTATCTGAGAAAAATCCTAAATTTGTTCTTAAATAAAAAAATAACCACCCTGTTGAAATACATAACACAAACTATCATTAAATGTATTCACAATTTGTGCTTACTTTTTTTATTTACGATCTGTCCTTGTGTTTTGCATGTAAAAATAACGTTTGGTTTTGTTGACAGTGTCACGTTGCAACATGCCCTACCCAGTATTCTATATTATCTCGTAATTGCTCACAGTGGCGTGTGTAGACATCTATATTTGCATTGTGAATTTCCCTCCTGAGCCATTGATTTACTGGATTTGAGACCAGTTGCTTTACCACTTGTGGTCAGAGTGTAAAGCAGGATTTGTCATTGCGATTGGGCAACATGTGGTTAAGAATAAAAGAGCAAGTGGTATTTCTATGGAGAGCTAGGTGGCCCGTGTGCACTTTCTCAACAGTGCATTCCATGTTTGTCTCATTGTAAAATCTGGAATGTTTTCCTCATGGGTACATCGCATTCCTTTAAATTCCTGCATGTTCACTTGGAAAACAGACCTGCAGTGAGACTTTTTTTTTTCTACCTCTCTCCGTCTTGGAGTTCCAGTGGACCAGTCTCGCAGATTCCTGGACTTTTACTTCCGTCCGGTAACAAAACTGGATTTTTCAGGAAATGTCAGCTGCATGGGTGTGATTTCATGCCCCTGCCTTTTGCTCTTACCAGTAAACAGCATGATTCACATCTCAGCTATGCTTTCCCTTTACATAATGCTTCTTTGAATCTGCCAGGTTACAGCAAAGAAAAGCAGTACTCAGTCGAAAAATGCCTTTGTACCTCCTGTTAAGGATGTGAAATAAAAAACTGGCTCTAAAAGCAGTTGGCTAACACCCAAAATGAAGTTACTTAGAAGCCTTAATTCACTAAAACATGGGCAATATTTTGAATGTCTGTTGAATGGCTGTTTTTGGGGAGAGAGAGGGTGGTGCTAACCAAGCAACTGATTCGTAACCGAGATCTTTGAGGTAAGCCCATATATGCATTCCAGATGGACGTAATTCCCTCTGTCTTTGTTTTTTTTCAGTAGGTTGTCAGGTTTTATTCCTTTTATATTTTTTACTACTTATCAGTCTGGATCCATGTCCTTTCCTATGATCGAAAAAAACATCTGGAATCTGGTTTTACAGTGTTGCTGCAGGCCAATATTTTATTTGATGCGGGAGAAGTTGTTCTGTTGATATTGCCTTTCAAGCAATCATAACTTAAGCTTCCCAAATACGTGCTGGTTTTAAACCCGCGCTATAAAATATGGTAGTGGTCTTTGAGCTAATAATGTTCTTTAAAATAGAAAAAACAGTCAGCATTTGAATCGCTTGAGTTGTCTTGAGCATCTTAAATCTTTTCTTCCAGCTGTAATGGTAATGTTGCTCTTTTAAATGTCCCAAGGAATAGTTAAGAGTTTAACACCTTTGGAATTTGGTGTACCAGAATATTAAGCATAAGGCTTGTTTAAAAAAATGTACATGGAACATATGTTTCATGCCAGCTTTTTAGTCATGCTGCTAACATTGGTTTGCTCTATTTTGAAGTGCTGCTTTTGGCCTTACTTTTCCTGTATGGCCCACAAAATCTGTATATGCAAGTTGGTTAATTTATTTATTTATTTATTTTCCATCGGATTTTTTGTGTAGACGTTAGGTTGAAGTGCTAAATATACTAAACTTACAACAAGGCAATTATATTAAACAGAAAGTGACTGGAAGGTTTCCTCTGACCATATTTGTGAGAATTTTCTGTCTTTTCTCTAAATTTTGGCTCACGTCTGTTTATTTTGCTTGATAGATTAAAGCTTGGCCATTGGTATGAGTCTTGTGCTATATTAGGGACTGGAAGATAAGGGAAATAATAATGTTTCATCAAATATATACTGAAACATATTCTTCACTTTAAAAATGCTATTGTATATCCTTATAGTCTGTTGTAATCTTTATCTGAAAATTTGTCAAAACTTAGAGTCCAGATGTGGACTTTTATAAGTAACACCAGTTTCTAGCACTTTATACTGCGAGTGAAAGTGCTCTTTGATCAGACAGTACTTCTTGTTGGAGTTTCCTCATAAAGGTTAGCGGCCCTTGACTCACTAGAATGCTATGTCACATTGTTCGAGTTCAGAGCCATGTGGTCTAAAGTACAGCGTGTGGGCGGTTTGCACTCTGCTATTCGCAGACTTGCTTGCACATGTTTTTGGACGCAAGAGCCATCGTATCTCACAGAGGTACTCTGAGGGATTTGTGCCGCTGTGGTTTTCAAGTGCAGGGGCTCACGCCTGAGTAAATGTTATTGCCTAAAGGGCAGCAGTGTGGGTGTAAGCTGTCCTTATTGTCCCCATTCTTTCTTTCTTTCACCTTCAGTAATCTGATACGACTTCAAAAGCTGAGATAGCACACAGTTTCGAGACTAAATCTGCACTTGTTTTCCCAATTATATTCTCCACATTTTTAAAGGGAAAAGAAAAACTTCCTATCCTGTTATTTCTGTACCTGACAAGTACAACTTGTTGGGGGTAAAAAAAAAATGAAAAGTATTATTTCCTTTCCTTTAAGCACACCTGGTATTCTGCTTACCTTCTTGGGAGAATCTATTCACAGTAAAGTTTTTACAAGTCACTGTTTTTCACGCATAAGGAAAAAAAAGCATATTCTGACTCTGGGATTGAAACTGTTGAGGGAACATCTGTGATGTCCTCGAGTTGCTAGTTTTAATAACAGTTTCAAGTGGATGCCGTTAGAAAACATACATGCAATGAAACCAATCTAATCATTTGGTACCTATGGAAAAACTGAGTAAAATGAGTCTTATGACCTCTAAGTTGGGCCTTGAAATGCTTATTTTTCCAAAGCCCACTGCATAGTACAAGGGCTTCAGCATCCTGACTCAGGGCCACATGATAACACCGTGACAGTCATCACGACTCATGACTCGCAGGCGCTCTGTCCTCCCCCCCAATCATTTATCTTCCCTTATTGAAACTGAGCTGAGTTTGATTGGGTCTTTAAAGAAATGTTTCTTTTGAATCTCTGAGTTCTCTACTTTAATCAATGCCAGGCAAGGATCCTTGATTGAACCGATTGATTATCGAATGCCAGCGATGAAACTTGTTTCCTAACATTGTGACAGTATTTGTCCTTGTCCTTCAAAGAGGGGGTCTGTGCTTGATTTTACTTAAGTGCTCACAGTTCAGTACTTTGGTAAACTAAAAATATTTTTTTAGAGTTTCATAAAATTTGCATGTTGACATTTTGGACTTATTTCCAATATTAGACGTAACAAATTTGCCCTCAGTGGGGAAACAAACCCCTCATACTTCTGTATGTAAGCTTTTACAGAGGATGTGCGTCTATGATCCACAGATATTTATCAAACACCTTCTGTGGTTTGCTTATGCTCACTTTAATATTTTTTTTTCCACCAAATACCATTGAAAGCTGGCCAGCCAGGAAAAGAAAATGTGACTGAGCACTAACAAATACTTATGTCATGTATTTCAAAAGGTTCTAGTCCAAGAAGGTGTTCTTTTCTAACCGAGTCTCCATACGTGAAAATGTAGCTTTTTATCTGTCAGTGGTGGTCTTGCACGTTTCTCAGAAGGTGTACAATTATTTTTAAGCGGTCTTTAAAGACGTTGGGAACACGCCTAGATTTCAGAATTCATCTCTGAAAGTTCCAGGCCCAGTGCTGAATGACTTATTTCCCTGTATCGCCTGGACAGGAATGCAGGGTCTTCTCATGACGCAGCCCATTTTTGTGAAGCAGATCGAGCCAAGTCGCTGTCGAGGTTTTTTTTTTCTTCCCGTCTGCGTTGCAGTGATTTCACTGGCTGACCATCCAGATCTTAACTTCGGTATTCCAGCCCTTTCCATCGAAATGCAAAAATACTCTAGTGTAAAAGACAGATTTATATTAGGAACCAAAGTTCCAGTTTTTTGTTAGATATTTATGCATCTGCTGAAAAGCTGTACTTTACTGTATTAATATTGTTCCTAAGAAGCATGACTAAATTTCCACTACATAATTATTACACACATTGTGTTTGAAGTCTGGTCAAGTTTAACTATTCTGGCAGGAACATTGGTAGGAGTACAAGTTCAAAACAAACTACTAGTACAATGCACAAGATGTAGAACAGATGGGTGCTCTCAATCCTGAAATTAGACCTTGGTTTCACATGAATGTGTACATAAACAGCACATTCTTTTGGCTTTGTCTGTGGCACACTGAATAACCAGTTCGTCTGAAAGATAACCCAGTCCATTGTACCCAAAATCAAGCAAGAGCCAGTCAAGAAATTCTGGACCTTTTACCAAACCCCTTTGCCTTTTGATCTACGATGATATACATTTCACCTTACACACAGATGAGATCTTCGAGACTGTTGCCTTAAATAAGTTACAGATATTGCTGTACATATTAACCTTGAATTAAGTAGTTTGAGTGTAACAAATAAGAATCCAAGATTTTTCCCAGTCAGTGAGTTTTGTACGCCTTTGTGCACCATCCATGCTAATAAACTGTAGCATGTTCATCCAAACAGCACTTTCAAAACGTTCACAATGCTATCCAAGGACTGCACATAAAGCAATCCCTGACCTATCCTACAATCTGTTGGGTTTTCAGCACAAACTGTCCGTCTCACAGAACTGGCTGCAGCATTGCTGGATCAAATATAACTACAAGAGTTAAATAAGGAAATCTAAAGCAATCCAGGAAAGTCCAGCGTAATGGGATCCAGCCTGCAGGGCACAAACCTCAGTCCTGATAAAGAACATTCTCTCACAGCATAAACAACTTCAAAACTACTTTCCATTAACACTTTACCATCCAGCATTTTCTCCAAAACTGGCACTTGAAATCAGAGCACGGTACATTTGTTTGAGATTCGAATTCTGAAGTTAAGATTTGAAAGCTTCAAAAGTCAAAAGTGATTTGTTTTTTTTACCCATTGTCTACCTTAACCATCAATTATTGTGAACCAAATTGGTTCCACTTGATTCATTAGAGTCACTTTATAGGACAATTACCTGGGTGAAGGGTGAGGGTGAACTTCTTGAGCCAACAATAGAAATAAATAAAAAATAAAAACATGGTATATCTCAAAACAAATCAACTGAACATGAACTCCATAAAGCATGTGTAAAAAGAAATGTTTCCTGATAACGTCTGAGTGCAACAGGTGTCTGGATGCCAGCAGTAAAGTTGTACTCTTAGATCTCAGTGGACAATCTGCTGCATAGGCACTAAGTAGCTCTTGAAGGTGGTGGGTCGGGGTTCTGACCCTTGAAGAGCTTTATACGTTACAGTTACCTTGCAATCTTCTCAAACACTCATTGGCAATCAGTGCAAAGACCTCATCAAATGGCTGGATCCTGTACATACGTATACTGAAAGCTTTAAAAAAAAACTCACTGTGCATTTGATTTTAAAAGCATGAAGTACACAGATTTTACAGATAAGTCTTTTTTTGTGCTATTTTCATTGTTTATTCACAGCTCAAATGACTTCACCCTAGTGAAGTCATTAGCAAGAGAATTGGCAAGCCTGGTGAAAAAGAAATGAACTAACATGCACTCTTATCAAGAGAACACATTCATGCCATCGGTATGTTGGACGCCACACTACTTCACCTCGGGGGGGACTAGCTAGCAGCGAGTCAAGTGTAGACCACCCTGACGGATGTCAGGGAGTGTGGCAGAACTGCAGAATCACACAAATTGTTGTGTTCAACAGGCCAGACGTGTGATAGCCTGGGTAAGAGTGTCTGACTGCTTCAGAACTCTAGAAGTAGCGATTGCTGGCAACCTGTCTGCCACTGTGCTATATTCACGGGACTTCTGTCCTGCCTGTGAGTTGCTGACATGACAATAGTCCAGCAGGAAAAAGCATGTCCTCCTGCTTTTCATACAACAATGACTCCCTCGTGAGGTAGGAATGTAAAAGATGTCCTGTAACGTTCATTGTATACGCTCTGTTGTTCAACCTCATGAATTTCCCTAGTGTTATGCCTGTTCAAAAGAATGTCAGTGAACCTGCAACAAAGCAATTTTTGCTCATAGTAATTTTGTGACGGGTGCGCGTGATATGTATGTATACGTACTGTGACATTTTCAGGAATTGTCACGTCACAACTGACCAGGATCTCAACGTTGCACTCCCCGACAAAAGGCTGTAAAGTACTTCATCCTCAAGTCTTTTACCAAAAAACAGTCTCAAAAACACAACCAAGCTCCCTCTTTTAGGAAGAACAAGCAAATGGAACCAAAACACCAAATACCAATATTACTCACTTTGTCCTTTTTAGAGTCCAAAAAAAGCCGTCACCAAAACCAGACTAGCTTTCAAGTCCTTCTCAAACAAAAGACCCTCACTTTTTTGCCACACCCTTTTAAACCCAGGAAGAAGGCAACTAATCCCTCACAGCTGAGATGGTTTAGACAGGAAATTAGCAGGCCATTTTCCCCCAAAGCATCCTGGGATGTGCAGTTTCTTCATGTCCTCTGCACAGAGGAAACTAGAAACTTCTTAGATGGCTAATGTACACTCCCTCTATGACCCTGCCCCACATTTTGTCACTTTACTGAGCATCAAACTAAACTATTGTCCATTTGATTTAAAGGTTACTCTTAAAACCTATTAGATTGTAGCTCTTCTTCATTCCAGGGATAGCCTGATACATATTTATAAATAAACTAATATGAATTCAATTATCCAGACTGTTTAGGTTTTGCAAGTGTTAATAATGTTTTATCAGTTCTTTGTTGTCAGTACTCTTGGTAAGACAGCTGACTGGTAAATTATAAGTGTCCTTATGGGTAGCAGTGTTAATTAGGAATTGATCACTTTAATATATGTCAGTTAAAACAGATTTACCAGAAATGCTGTATACCAGTGTACAACAGATGTATGTTTTGATACGCCTTGAGCAGTTTCTAAGTCTGTCATTTACGCTTTCATCAGCATGACAGAATAAACATCTTGTACTTTTTTTTTCTTATGTAGTCTGTGTTGTTGATGTTTTCCGATCAGTCTGCCTGCTGGTGATTTGCCCTTTTGGATCATTCCTCAAGTCTTCACTGCTGCAGACTTGTAATTTATACCATGTGTGCAACTGTGTTATGAATGAGGCTTGTTTACTGTTAGGCTGGCCACGTGACTTGATACTCCCACACCCATTTGCTGTTACTAGGGGATTCTGAGTATTTCTATGGCAACGGTCTCTGTAAAAGGCTGAATGCATTCTTGGATTCTCAGTGGTGAATGGGCCCTAAAGCAAAAGGTGGGGATAGTTTAGCATTTTAAAGATACCAGCTGTGTTCACAGCAAGTAGGGTGGAACGGAGAAGTGGAGGAACTGTTGCCTTAGCTCTGTTTAGGTGATAGATTGTACAGGAAAGGTCAGAATGAGAGAACATCAAAACAGAAAAACACGTCCCAGTGGCTGACCTCATGTTCTGCTAACAGATTTCTTCTTGGGAACAGTCTGGTGAAACACATTATTCAGTGCACAGTAGTTAAAGAGCAAAATTGCTGTGTATATAATTTACTGTGTGTTACTGACCTCTGCTGGCACTGTCTATGGTACACATTTTAAAGTTAATTTCACGTCCTATTTGAAAGAAAGAACACCGACGGCTCATGTTTAATTTTGCACTGACCTCACTCATCTTTCCTGTTGTCTAATTATATGTATTATTATATGCATAAACGGTGACTCTTGTTATTTTGAACATAAAGGCTACATTTTTACAGTGTCCATTTTCCTTTCAGTGACTAGTTCCTTTCAAAATAGTTCACATATTCAAAAGCTAAAGTGTGTTTGGCATTCATGGTCATGAAATGTGATTACAGCCTATCGGTGACATTATGTTATCATTTGACATTGAAATTCTCCTGTTTCTTTTTTCAGTAGCATTTCGGTGGGATCCAGTTGAAGTCATACAGGGTATGACGACTAATTTCAAAGCGAGCAAAGCTTTAAAGGTGAGCATGTTTTTGTGCTTTTCTACCGTGACATTATGATGATGAATAAGGGCCCATCACCTAATAATTGAGAACACATTTAATTTTGTTATGAGTGCTGAACCGGTTCGCAATGGCCAGTGGTTTTAAGCTCACCCAAGAGACGATGACACGCGGATGTCCAAGCGTTGGTGCTAACTGGAAGAGTGGCTCGTGTCTCAGTGGTGTCACTGTAAATTAAAGCTGCTGTTCGCTAGAAGGCAGACAGAACCCGGACCGTCTGGCACAGACGCTACCCTGCTGTCCAGCCAATTACATGCTAGAGCTTAGGATATGTGGTCCCTGCCGTTTATGGTATAACCCTGGCATGAACTAGCAGCTTTTGGATCAGAAGGCCTGCTCTCTGGACTCAACATGTTACTTGTTGAGCCACTTTGCAGCCTTAGAATTTTACCACAATGATTAATTTTCAGTTTTGCATGCTTGATTTTATCCCATGTCTCTTTTGTTTAACACTTTTCTGGGAAAACATGTTGCTCTGTTTAGCACGGCACTGTGGCAGCGGTTTTGCGAACGTTTTCTCGCCCGTCTTTTTCCGATTCGCAGAACGTAAGTCTGGGCCCTGTCAGTGCGCGTGAATGAGGCTCGTGTGCGTGTTCGGGGGGCGGACGAACGCGTACCCCTGGCCCACCTGGCTCTCTCGCCCCCGCAGGTAAAGAAGGAGGCGGGTGAGAATGCCCCGGCGCTCAGCGACGACGACCTGGTCTCGATGTCGGTGCGCGAGCTCAACCAGCACCTGCGCGGCCTGACCAAGGAGGACGTCGTCCGGCTGAAGCAGCGGCGGCGCACCCTGAAGAACCGGGGCTACGCCGCCAGCTGCCGCATCAAGCGGGTGACCCAGAAGGAGGAGCTGGAGCGCCAGAAGTCGGAGCTGCAGCAGGAGGTGGACAAGCTGGCGCGGGAGAACGCCAGCATGAAGCTGGAGCTGGACGCCCTGCGCTCCAAGTACGAGGCGCTGCAGAACTTCGCCCGGACCGTCACCCGAGGGCCTCTGTCCCCCGCCAAGGTGGCCACCACCAGCGTCATCACCATCGTGAAGTCGAGCAACCACAGTGCAAACTCGGCCCCCTTCTCTGCCCCCTCCTAGTGCCGGCAGGGGGGGCCAGCCCGCGAGCTGTGTCACTGTGCGCCACTCTGCCCTCAGATCTCCAGGCTCTCACAGAAACCCCCATGTGCCTCAGCCCTCGATGGAGACCTAGCAAAGCACTTAAGGAAAAATTAAAATGGCAAAAAGACTGGTCGAACAAACTCCACTTCTTTTGGCGTCTTTGCTCTTGCAAGCTGAAAACGCAGCTATTGTTTGGAGACCCGGGGTGAGGTTCTTTGGTAGATTACAGTAGGCAAAAATGCCAATAAATGAGACCCTGTCCTGACAATAGCGATTCCTATCTGATGAGACCCGGAAAACATGTTATTCAAAGACTGTAAGAACAGCAGTCGTATAATTAATCCTAACAGCTATGAAATTGCAAAGTGTAATTCATACTGAGACTCATTAAAAACACAACAAACGCTCGTTTGTTGCATTTTTAATGCCCCTCGGTATATTAAAGTTGGATAGCCTGAGGTCTACAGAGCTTTGTGTCACCCAAGTAAATTTGAGGAAAAAAAGCTGGGCTTCATTAAAGCTTTATTATCTGATGCCTGGTTGCTGCTGGATGATTAAAATGATAAGTTATTATTCTTTGAAAGGCTCTTACTGTCTTACTGTAAAATGCCATAGTAGAAATTAAAACTTAGCACTTGTGTAGAACTTATTTTTTAATATAGCTTGTAGATAAAAACCGATACCAAGAGGATGCCTTTCGCAACTCATGTGTTTAACTAGACCTATTCAGGATCTGAGTTTCTAATCAGAATTAATGTCTAGATGATGATGATTATAATTCAATATAATGTATTTTTATATGTTCAGATCATTTTTACAGATAATGATGGGCTATGGAATGCATCGTTTGCTGTACTTTATCTTAAGCACATGGTTTTGTATGATCTTGATTGTTTTCCTGAAGCCTTTTTGCTATCGATACCATATTTAGTGGTAGGTAATCCATATTGGATATGAGATAAGGGGAGATGCCTTGACAAAAAATGCAATGTGATTATTTCCTGTATATTACAGATTTTAAATACTTCCTTTCAAGTTTCAACAGGAAAAAAAAATCCTAAATGCAGTTTTCTCCCTAAGTGTGAAAAATTCTGTCCTCCATTCCTACCGCTTTGTTACCTTGAAGTGACGCTGCCGGCGTGGGTACACTTCATACGATGCATTTTGTATGGTCATACTTTCACATTTTGACACGAACATTAGGGTAAGGAAAATCCTTAAGGGTGAACTCCAGTGCGCAAGAATTTAAATGGGAAATGGTCTCTGTGAATAACAAAACAGAGGTGGTCATAGACCTTCTTTTCAAATATTCTGGACATTTACAGGCCCTCTGTGAAAATGCAGGGTAGTCCATTTAGACAACTGAGCATCGCAGGAGCAAACACAGTTTAGTTTTGTCACTAGTCCAAGTTCCCATGATACTAGTGTGTCAGCTGGTTTTGCATCCAGCGGAGCTCTTCATTACTTAATTGAACTTATAATTTTAAGATTTAGAATGATATATTTTGCTTTAAGCTCCTAGTCTGCAAACAACTTTGAGTGCTGCTTATTGTAGCTGAAAATGATGCAGAATATCTATTTAAGAAATGTTCTGACTCAGTCCATTTCAGTCTTAATGAATTTATATTGAATACAAAGGCTTAATGAAGTAACAGGGGCAGCATGGTGGTACAGTGTTTCGCATTGGCTGCCTTGCAGCACTGGGGCCCTGTGTTCAGTCAGGAGGTGCTGTCTGTGTGGAGTTTGTATGTTCTCCCTCTGTTTGTGTGGATTTCCTCCCGCAGTTCAAAGACAAGCTGGCAGGTAAACTGGCCCCTTTAGTAGACATTTGAAATAGTCCACAAAACCTGTGCATTCAAAAGCAATTTTGCATAATCCAAAAATCGCCGCCATCTAAGAACCTGGGTCTTGTACAGGCGCCCCCTCCCAGTGATTGCTCCTGCGGATTAACTGCAGGGCGCAGGAGTGAGAACTGGAGTTGGCTCGATGAGGAGTTCTTTCTTACCCAGTGGACACGACTGTGTTTCCCCATCACAGGACCCTTCTCTGCTTTAGTGTGGGGAGACTTTGCTGCTGTATGGCCAATTGTGTAACTAAGTAAGGTCATTGCTGTGCTCTTATTATTTTACATTCTCATATTAATTTTTGTATTTAGTTTATAGTTCTGTTTAACGTGCTCCAGGGCATGAAATAACGTGGGAGTGGTCAGATCTTGATGTTAACTCCACAAGTAATTACAGAGATTCTTGTTTAACAGTTTTTTTTTTTAAGGTTAGTTATTTGTCATGTGTTTCTTTGTGGGAATCACTGCTGTGTACTATGTGAGCCCATTCTGCTGAAGGTGTTCATCACAAATAAAGCACCAGTGTAGTTTTAACTCAGACATATACTATACTCCCAGAAGCTGATGACACTTTTGCTTAGTCAATTAAGTGATTAGGTCCTAAAGGTTGATGGAAATTTCCAAATGGTAGTGTGTGTACAGACTTACAGAAGCATCAGCATTCTGTAATTTAAATGTGTTAAACTTAAACTTCTAAACAAATACCGGCTAATACACTGAGAAAAGGTATTACTGGAAAATTAGGTTAATATATAGTATTTATTATTATACTTAGTAGTGGATAACTGTTTTCTGATAAAATATACCAATACTTCAATACAAAAAATATTTTTTTAATGACAACACTTTGAAGAAATCCTTTTTTATATTCCTTTTTATAGTTAGTGCTAAGGATTATGGCTGTATTATACTGTAAGGCTGGGAAAAAAGGGACACGTTGTATTTTGAAGTAAAATGATTTGCGTCTGTAGAGTGTAATCACTTTAAAAAATCTTAACGTCAATTAGTAATGTGTGGTGTAATTTTTCTAGCATCAGCAATGAAATGGCAGCTCAGCACACCGATGGCAGTATATAAAGAAGTAATCTGGTGCAAATAATTCTGCACTTTTTTTTGGGCTTCTTTGAAAATAGGTTAAAGGGATTTGTTATAGGTATTTGAGGACAGTCGGGCATTTACAGTACAATCTCTTTTTTTAAAACCTAGGACTTTCGTAAAAGCTGTTCCCACTAGCTTGTTTTGTAGAGAATTAAACCCACAATGACCCTAAGAGAAGATTTGTTTTTGTATGAACACACAAAGTGTAACATTGTAACTTACTGATATTGACAAATGATTACATGTTATCATTCGACGAAGCAGGTGTATTTGTACCTCTTACGGTCTCCTGATTGTTTTTTCATATTGTAAAATTCATGGTAGGACATTTTATATGTTGTTAGAATTCTCTAAATGGCATGGCTGTGTGCCACAATTACTACTGTACATAGTTCTAGATGTTTGGCTGGCTCTTAACCTCAGCAAACAAAAACAAATCTTGTAATTAAGTATCCCTTTTTCTAGACATTACTGACACCAAGTGGTAATATTAAATAGTTTCTTTTACTGCTTGAAAAATTCAAAACTCGACATTGAAATCACCAGGTGCGTACTACGTTTTGACTAAGACCAAGTTAATGATTAGATTCAGATAAGATGGCGACAGAACTTCAAGTTAAAAAAAGAACAGACGCTATCGTGCCATAGAAAGACACCTTTTCTGCCAAGTTTTAGGTTGCGAGGTTCAGTGATGAGAACTGTACTCTTGTAGTGGATAATTTCAGCTGTACACATGTGCACTAGTTGTAATGATGTTCAAGAAGTTTTAGAACGCCAAGCTTGAGGGCAGATGCACTCTTTTAATTGACGGTGGTATCATTTTGAAAGGTTACATGGACAAAAAGTACCCTCAGCTCATTACCAGATATATTTTTCTGTGTATATTAATCATGGAGACTTGAGGTAGTGTTCTTGTACAGTGTTTTTGCATTTGCATCCAGTAACATAATGCAGAGTGCCACACGCACACAACTCACTGGCGTGTTAATCTCAAAAAGAGCGTGCACAACTGAGAAATAACCCAGAATGGACCTTTCGCATGAAGTTGTTTGAGTCCACGGAGAAAAAGATGGAACTGGAAACGGAATGGCAGAAAACAGTGGAAAAGGTAGAAACAGAATAGGACATTTCTACTCTGTTGCATACAGTATCTATGTTTTAAGTATGTGTGCGTATGTAGGCAATGTTTCCTTTGTGTGGTGCTACCTAGACTTGTTTCATTTGTTATGGAATAAGCAAAAAGAAAGTTATTGGGTTGAATGTGTTATCTGTCAAAATTGGTACTGTGTTAAAGAAAATATCATTTGTTACATACTGTAAAAATCACATTTTGGTCCTGAATTTGTGCATTTGGGCTGATACGAGTTATTCAGTTTCTTATATTAAGGTATAACCAGCTCTCAAGTATTTTTCATATACTCACTTGACACAAAAAGCTCAACTGGGAGTAATTCTTCACAAATATTTACAAAAACTTTACTTCTGAACTCTAAGAGCTATGAAGTATAGAACCTAATTCTCTTGGATAATATTAAAGAACAAATCTCACATTGGGTGAAAACACTAGAATTGAAATATTTCCTGCAAATTATGTTGCAAGGGGTTGTATTTGAGGTGTGTATACATATGTATATCTGATTAATTGTTCATATTAAAAGATGCAAAAACCGTGTCTTTGTAAGCTTGATAAAAGTCTGCAATTATCTTTCACAAATTATGCTTCCTCTCCTGGCAAGTTATTTTCCTCCTGCAGGAGAATTTTAACCAACTTCAGTGTCGCTGCTTCTGAAATGAATTAACAGTCTGTATCCAGATTAATTCTCAACCCAAACATGTTACACTATTTTCCAAACGTTTATACATTTTAAGTTAAAAAAAGTTGAGCAATTGAGTCCTATTTTTACTGTGTCTAAATACTAGACATCTGAAGAGTAAGGAGTTCAAGACAGAAGATAATAGGAATGTGATTTTTATCACTAAATTTTTCAAAGATATATTTCGAAGATCAATATACAGGTCTGTAAAATTACAAATGTTACATAAATTCCAGAGATTTTATCTGTCCAAATGCCAATTCCAGACAGTAGTGGACTCTTAACAGCATTATGAGTGGTAATAACATTTAAGAGGTTAATGACATTGAACACTTGCAGAATACAAGACAAAACATTGTAATCTGATTTTTTTTTACTTCAGTTACTCTGTTTATATGTATTTTATTTGTACTTCAGTATTTATTGTTCCTGTTATGTTTTATTTTTTTAATATAAATTATTGGATTTTATTTACATTAATTTTGGATAGTAATGACTGTACCCTCATGTACATATAGAATGTTTTCTCTTTTTCAAGATCTGACCGAAAATAAGGAAGTAATTTATTGCTGTATATAAGAGTCTGCTGTGCCCGTTTTTTACTTTTCAATAAAGCATTTTTGTCATGGGGAAAAAAGGCTGAAATTGTTACAAATTGTTTTCTTCCTGAACACTTTGAATATCATAAAACAGAACTATAGACCAAGCAATAGAACTGGGCTTTCCAGTTTTTGATTATTCAGGACATTTCTGGGAGGAATACAAACCTTGGAGTCAAGAAAACATTCTCAAAGAAGCAAAAAGAATGGCTGGTTCATGTAACCATACAAGCAGTGATGTACACTACATTTTAAAAATGTATTTTCCTTGGTTCCCAAAGGAAAGGAATAATAGTTTAAGTTGGACTGACTTGCTGAATGGATCAATAAAATCTTGTAAAAAGTGTACTCCTCAGATACTTTCCCAATAAAAAAATGACCAAGTTAACTAATTGATTAAGATCAATCAACTTAGTGCTTAAACAAACATTGTTCCTATGAAGAAAGAAATCAGACAGTTTAACTTTCACTGCATACACTGTATGCTTACCGGGATAAAACTGACACAGATCAACCCTTCCCTGAAAAATATCACAAAACCTTTCTATGGATAATGGTTTTATTTTAAATGTATACAGCAGTACTGTAGCTTTATTACTAAACAGTCAGAGAATTTGTGAAATACAAAGTACTGTATAATTGTATTTGAGCAGAATCATTCCCTGGCCAAGGCTGAAGTAGGACAGATGCACAACATATTTCAAGAAAAGTGTATGCCCCCAAAAATATTTTTTTGTAATGCAGAAAAATTGCATGAATCTCTATTCTCGTAGCTTGATTAAACATGGGGTAGGGCATTGGCACAGGTGAAAACTGTACATTTGAATAGAAATTGATCTTTATCACACAACAAGGCTTCTGATAGCTTCCTACCTCCAGGATATAAGATAACCACCATTTCTACTTCAGTAGAAGTGCTTTTTCAAGTTGCCATCTACTTGGTAGTTACTGAGGAAACAGAACAACACTGTTATACATAATACATCTTCAACCTCTAAAAGCACACAGCAGTCGACCAGATCATTCTTGATAAGAACCAAAGTACAGTATTCATGTACTGTATGCACACGTATTTGAGAAATATACTATATGAGCAAAACACAGCAAGACTGGATTTGACTAAATTGAGACGAATGACAGGAAACATTGAATGTCTTCAGTTTTGTGCAAACTGTTAATATGGTGACAAGGGAGAGCAACTGTAAAAAGATCATCATCAGACAAAGGAACTGTGTGAGAAAATAGTCCAAAGACCATGTTCAGTTTTTTTTAAATCTTTCCAACAGGAGAAAGGACACTAAGAAAAGAAAGACTGTAAAAATGCAAATATTTAATTGCAAACACCGATGTTATTAATATGGAGATATGTAGACAATGTAAAGGAGTGTTTTTCTTTCTGCTTGCGCATTACCATCACAATGTAAAGTTAAAATAGAAGGCATGCTTGATTAATGATTTTGTATCCCATTATCAAAACATTACAAAGAAATGTTAAGTTTAGGAGAAGATGAAACCCCAGCAAGTGAGTATATACTGTAAGCATTTTCACACCCAGACACTACAACAGCTACGATACGTATACCAACGTCTACTTTCTTACAGGTGTATTTATTAGTTTTCAGAAATTGCAACAAGAACATACTGTACAATCATTGCCTAATTACAGAACCATTTATTTTAGAACACACATTCTTGACAGTGTTGGTGCTACCTACAATACTTTACAGATCCCTATGTGAATTCACTTGTTCAGCCAGTCCTGTTCTTCCAATGGGGATGTAGAATGCACGTTCCTTGGTTTGTGCATGGCATGTCATAATACAGCAGAGGAAACAAGAAACAGACTCATCAGCAGCTTTGCTCTCAGGGCCCTTCTCCTGCTCCGTGAACACGCCAGCAGTGTCTGTTGTCTGAAGGCTGACGTGAAGTCTTCTGTGCAGCCGACAGTTCCACAGCATTTCTATTAATGAGCTCAACAGCTTCAGTGGGCTTTTTGTTTCCGTTTTGCTAACAGCAGAGATGAGCATCTCAACGACAGCCTGCAGTTACAGCCCGTCTTCTCTATTCCCGATTCACGAAACTCATAAGCCTCTTCTTTAAACCGACATGAATCAAATAAAGTGGTGGCTTTCTGTGGCTTGTCTGTCACTTACTCGTATATCAACAATGATTGATCAAGTCGCCCAGCCCCACAGATGGCAATCTGTAGACTTGATGTACCGGACAGCTTCCTCTTCCATAACACAGGAACTCAAAAAGTACATTTGGCGCTTTCTCCCTTTTTAAAACAACGGCTTCTGCCCGATCGTTCATACCAACACACGTTTTCATTTCTGTATTTTTTTTTTAGTAAACATTTTGCAGGATAAGGTATGCTCAGAGACCCACCGGAGTCTCCGTCTCGGCACCCCGCGGACGAGACGAAGCTGGTGGCCGACGCGCCCGCCTTGCCTCTGAAGTCCGGCGCGTGTTCATATTCTTTGGGTGGGACAGGGAGGGTCCTCCGGGGGCAGCAGCTACAGTGCGGAATGACCCTAGATTGTGTGCTGTCCCCAGGATCTAGAATTCGTCGTCCGAGGTGATCAGCATCATCTTGTCGTTTCTTTTTGGCCGTTTAACCCCACCGCCAGAGCCCGTCTTCCCGTTCTGATGGGGCTGGTCCACCTCCTGTGTGGACTGCTGGGTGTACTGCTGGTAGGCGGGGGAGAAGTTGTGGATGGCATCCTGGACCATGTCGTTGGGGTTTATCGTCTCCTTCAAGCCACTGGAGATGCTCTGCATTGGGGCAATGTTATCTGCAAAGAGACGGCGTTGGACAACAGTTAAAATCTGGTATAGCCCCACTGGTCCTTTGTCTCCAAGCTTATAGTGAAGAAGGCGACCCACCTAGCCCTGAAGAACCAGCAGCTCAATTTAAGACTTTGGATATCAATGCGCCAGAAATCTGAGATTTCTTTGGAACTGAATGCTTTTCCATTAATACAAATGAAACTAGAAGTATGCCAATCGAGTGAGAAATACATTGCATTCTGAAAAAGATCCAGATGCATCTCTAAAAATCAGCCTCATATTCTAAATAGCACTGGTAGAAAGAAAACTTTGAAACCAAGCTGTACAGTACACTGAATGCTTGAAAGATTTAAGATGAAAACTGACTTCTGCATGAAAGTACCATAAGCAGTACCGTTTAATTCTCATTGTGAATTTATTACATTCTTCAATTCAGGTCATTCAGCAAATGTACATATTGTAACATAGTACATAAACTCTCCACTCAATAAAAAATAACTGGCTGAACTAATATTCACTTTGTTGCTTTCTTGGCCTCAAACCATTTGACATATAAATGCATGAGACTTGAGTATGATTCATCTATTAATCTTATAACTCTCCAAGATCTGTGGAGGTTAATCATTTTTGTGGTGGGACATGTGCTACAGCTGACGCACCGCTCAAATCCAGCTTAAACAGATGTAAAGGGCAAACGAAAGAAAGACGACTGCAGGAGGCAGTGTGCACTTATACTGAAGATTGTACAGCTGCCGTTGGGCCATGCTGTGGCCCAGACCCTCGTCACTGCCCTTCACAGCTCCAGAAACCACGAAGGTAAAAATATCAGAGGAGAGCCAGGTCGCCTGATCGTTCAATTTTTAACGGAAATCTATCTGTAAGAAACCACAACTCTGGTTGATGTTTGTAGGCAATACACTGTGAGAGAAATACTGAATACTGGACCAATTCGACAGTCTCTGTTTAAATGGGTTTAATAACATTTCTGCTCTAATGTAGAGGAATGTTATATATGAAAACTTCATATATGTGTGTAATCATCTTATGCCAACCTTATGAACAGTTAACATCATAACGAGACTCATTTAGTGAGTTAATTGCAACAGATACTTTGACCTCTGTAATAATTTAAGAGCGCAATCACAATGCAAAGCATGTTCCACTGTGTTGTATAAGTACTACAAAAAGAAATTTAAATATTTAATATTTATTTGAATTTAAACAAGCATCAACAATGATTTATTCAAACTGATGCGCCAAATGTGAAAATCAATCATTTGTGTTTAAAATCACTTGCTGTGAAGGCAAATCATTTTTTTCCCCCCAAACACTGAATAATGTATTTTAATGAACCGTGACATTTTCATTAGATGAGCTGAGAACCCCATGCCATGGTATAATTAAACATAAACTTTTAAGTGTCTGCTTCCTTCTCAGCTAATATTTCCAGTTTAAACATTCAAATAAGAGAAACTAAACTCCATTCACATTTACATATAGATTTCTAACTTTAGATTGCATTTATGTATATCCTCTGCCAAGGAAGCAAATCATTTTAATATACTGGACCCCCTGAAAATACTTGACCCACATTTGTAAGAGCAACCTCACAACATACAGGTTGTCCTACATACAGAGTACATAGGAAATGGTTCAGATGAGCCAATAAGATCAGTGAAATGGGATATACACAACCAGCTGTGGCAATTATACCCTACTTGCCTAGATCTGGCAGAGTCTCGCAAAACACTACTCAGTTATGCCAAGACAGCAGATCCTAGAAAAGGGAATACATCTTTACAACCTTTGAAGACATGTGCAGTGGCTGCTCTTTGGGAATAAGAACAGGCTGAAAGAGAAGATCTGGAAAAGACAGCTAACCAGTATATGTTTAGCTCCGTTTTCCTCAGGATAAAAGCACCCATCAAACCGACATACTTTAACAAGTGGCATAAAGAAATAAATAATGCAAGGAGCTTATACCTACGCTCAGATGACATGTTCAACATATGTCAGTGCAAGGAGACAATTTTACTTGTACACGGCCCTGGTACAAAATGCAAGGTGCAGCAAAAGCTCTGTTAAGTGGCACAGAGTGTGCATTCTCCTGAGCACGTATGGTTGTCTGTTTTTCAATTTATTTAATGGATCCCTGCACAATAATGATGGGCACTAGATAGACAGCATTAAAAACAGTATGCAGGATCACGGAAAGAGCTTTGTCACACTGCCTTCCCAAAGCTTCGCTGCAAATAACCTGCTCTGCCCAATTCCCCTTGATGGATAAGGCATTAAAACATGAAAACCGAGATCTTCCAAGCAGCAGATGTAGGGGTTATTTATGTAAATTTGTAGCCAGGCCCAACTTGCCAATTGTTGCAGCGGACCATCTGATAGAGGCAATTCAGAAAAACCTTCTACACCTCTCGAGTTCCTTTTGAAATTCAGTTTCGGATGCATGAAGGCTTTGGTAATAATTAAACATGCCTACTGGCCTCCTGTAGGAAGACCTGTAGTTAATGCTCTTATGCATTCAGTCACTCTCGCACTTGATGGATAAGAGCATGAGCAGAGATGACGAGAAAGCCGCAGTAAAGCTTGAACGATACACTCCCCCCCCACAGAGGCCAGGATTGCCTTCAGAATTTCTGCTAAGCTGCTTGAGGGACAGGCGTTGCTTCATTCTTTAAAGTTGGAACGTCTGAGCAATCACCTGTGTACCAATTGTCCAAGTGCACCACTGCAGACAAGATTAAATTATTTTGTTTCAGATCACTTCAAGAGCCACCTTAGCCTTTCCTCTGGGGTCAGGTGCAATAATGTGCTGCAGGGTTGAAGATTTAGTTAGGTATGCTGTCATAGGCTTCAGGCCACAGCTGGCTAACTTGAAACTACAGCAATATTATCACTTCAAAAGAACTGCCAAGAGGCATTGCAAGGTTTTGAGCCTTTCACAAATCGGATCCCTGCACACTGTAGACATTCGATGGATGTACAGAAATGTTGTTGGTGCTATGCAGACGTTTGCTCTGAATTAAAAAGTCCACGGACTTTTTTAGATAAAGATTACAAGGTGTGTTTGGGTTCTTTTTTAAAAGATGGTGTGTGACAATGGTCGTTAGTGGTTTTACATTCTGGACACACGAGTACAGAGGCTGGTATTTACTCCACGAAGCCATGGATCACTGAACAATGTTCCGCATCTATTTCTAGGTGCTTGGGGAATCCAAGTTAGTAATCAGTTAATGTTTCAGCTCTTAAAAACGGAGCGATGTTATGTTTCAAAATGTTCCTTGACATCTGTACGTCATACCCAGAAAGTATCTTTTGAATAACAATCAAGCTACACAAATTTTTGAGATATGAGAAGACTGGGAAGTCAATATAATAATAAATAAAGACTGAAATATTTTGGCACTTTCCATTTCTAACCATCACAAATGGCAAAGGGACAAGCTTTGTATAGTTGTATATCATACTGATTTTACACAGTAAAATTCAGTAGCCCAACAGCAGACTCAGCCAGGACACATTTAAAACTCCCACTTTTAGAAAGAATAAATTGTTTTTTAGAACTAAAATACTAACTTTGCAGAGCACAGTACATAAATGGACAAATAAAATGACTAATGTTTTATGTACCAAAGCAATTTTCCTTTTCAATTTTTATGTTAAGACCCAGAACAGTCCTACTCCTTTCAAGGAAAAAGAAAGGCTTTTGAGGACTAATAACTGAAGAACTGGGCTCTCCCCTGAACAACACATCTTGTTGTGCTTCTGCGTGAGAACATGCTGACGTCTGTGCTTGGATATTCTCTGCTCAAAGCTTTAGTAAGATCAGAGAGGCACAAGGGCGTAAGAACTTATTAATCTTTCAAAAAACCAGCCTGAACTTGTCCTCTCTACCAAGAGAAACATAAATCAAAGCCATGCAAAGGAAAGTTTTTAAAAATTGTGCATTGCCTATGATATTTTTGTGCCTCGTCTCCATACAAATCAGTAGAAGTCTATTAAGTATGGCATGTGTCTTCTGGTCTTTTAAAGAGTCTCTCTGTTGACAGAACGCACATTTAATTTCTGGTCTACTACTGAAAAAATAAATAATGTAGCCATTTAATGGACAATGTTCCCATTTATAGCAATGACTTAATATTTCTTTAAAAATCACAAATTCAGTTATGAGGAAAAACAAACAACAGTGTAATTATATGAGTCATTTCATCACGCTGTGCTATTAATTCATATGGTAGAAAAACCTGGAATAATTTAGAAACCGTTCACAATGATTTTTTTTTCTATACGTGCTTTTCAAAAAACTGAAAGCGATGTACAAAAGCACAAGCTAATAACTAAAAAGAAAAAAAAAACAAGCACACCAAATTAATTCAATAGAATTACATTATATATTAAAAGCTTTATTGAAAAGACAGGTCTTTTCAAGCTTTAGTCATGTTTTAGAAATGTTGGCAGTTGCCAGGTCTGGACTGAACACCGGGCACGGAGTTCCACAGATGTGGTATTGTTCACAAGAATGGTTTATTGTCCAGCTTCGAGTGTGGATCCAGGTGTTCTGCAGATCACACACCATGAGTTAGATTATACTCATGCAAAAGTCTTTAAAATAACCTGGAGTTAGACTTTTCTGTTGTCGTTTACGAGAGCAGGAGAACCACTTAAGGTTCATTAAGTCTCTCATTAATGCATCAATATTGAAGCACCAGACAGAACTACAGCGTTAAAAAAACAATGTTATGCCAATGTAAAAAAGATATTACTGCAATATTCCTAACATGAACTTCAAATGAAAACACAGGATCAAAACTAACACTGGCTTCCATTAAGGGCTTATTTTCAGCAGTGCAACAACAGCTTGAAGTCTCAAGCTTGCAAATGTTACTTTGTTGTGACCAGATCTCTAACCAATAAAGTCCTAGAAATGTAACCCATCTTTAAAACAATTTTCAAAAGTATTACGTTTTAAATGGACATTTGCCTATAGTATTTCTAATCAAAGTTTTTTTAACTACACTTTCATATAGTTGCATGCTTAACTAAACTGTGGTTTTGCTGATTTTATAGCACGTTCAAGCATAAGATGTGCCACCCTGACATTTTAAAGTAAATTATACTTGGGTTTCCTGTGTTTATGACCCTTAAGAATGTGAAAAAGTATACGAGCCCACTTGTGAATTTACAATGGCGTTCCATTATTATTGGGTTAGCAAAATGCTCTCCTAAAACTGGGCATTTAACACCACCAGTTATTACTCTTGTGACTGTATCGGTCATTTAACTTTGGTAAATAACCCTACAATGACACAAAAACCATTTGCCGAGCAATAGAACCTCCCTCCTGAATGTAAAACCATCTCGAACATGAGCGGGCAAACCGCTTGGCTGTGTTAACTCAGCCTGAACGATGGCCATGTTGCAGAGCTGCGCCGCGATTGTGCACAGAATAAACGTCACATCTCCGATGGCGGTACGTGCCTGGCGTGTCGCTCTTCTTCTCCTGGTACACTCTGCACGTGAAGGCGTATCGCAGCGCTATGGCGGCGAAGAACATCTCGATACAGATGATGAAGTTCTGCCAGCCTGCGGCCACTGTCCCGGCTCCCACCTTATGGCCATCGATATACAGGGCCTTAGGGATCACGTCGCATCGCTCCAAGATGGCCAGCAGCATGCCTTAGGGAAAGAAAAAGCAGACTTGACCTCATCGGACAGATTTCACAACACAATTTTAATGGCCACTTTGCTCTTCTTTGAAATGACACAGCACTTCCCAGACTGCTGTGCTGAATGGAACAGTAAGAGTACACCGCCGCTGAAGGAAATGTTAATTAGCCGATACCACAGGAAAACGCTTTAATTTCAGCACCAAACCGCGGCACCTGCTCTACATCTCGCAAGAAAGAAAGATGGACTGTATTTCATTCTTTCTTTCTGCTCAGCGTTTTCCACATCCCTTCCTGGGGTTCAAAAGGATTCTGTCATGATCACTCATCTTTTTTTTTTTTTTTAAGGGGAGGTCCAAACATTATACACCTTGACTGAAAAGAAAGATTTGGCAATATACAGAATCAATATATGCATCAAAAGGTACATGGGCAGAAAAGATACCATATATACTGTATGTTAATGGTACGCCACCCACGACAAGCATGATCTAGAGTATCTCAGTTTTGGACATGATTAAACTGTAGCTACTATCACAGATATTCTCCGTTTCGAGTCAGACATTGTAATCTTTCAAAAGAAAAGCCTGATGCCTTGATAGGATTTCACCACTAATTTAATTTCCCACTTTCATTTCACAAATGTGAATCTGAAGGCCGGTACCGAGCAGGTCATGACGGTTTAACACGCGAGTCAGCTCCTTATTTTATTCCCAACGCCGGGGCATGTCTGCAAGCGAAGAGCGCCCACCCACCTTGCCAGAACGAGAGGAAAATCACGGACTTGATGGTGAGGAATTTGAGAACGGGCTCGTAAGGGCGGAGCAGGTCGCTGGTGGCGAAGTAGAAGAGAAAGAGTGCGTACAGAGCCAGGCTGACGGAGAAATTGTAGATGATGGTAATATAGAGGTACCCACTGTTCACACTGGGGAACGGAGAGAAACACGGCCAATTAGAGAAGCTGTAAACCCAACAGTTCCAATTTATATTCCCGTAAAGATGTTTTTTTCTATTTATTTTCATACAGTAATATAATTAATCACATACAGCAAACGTCATCTGGTTTTGAAGGGTAAATTAATGGCTTGTTAAGTCCTTTTCTTTTTATCTTCACCATAATTGTAAATTAGAATGACAAGTTTTCAAACTGCATCAGGATAGTAACATACATGTACAGAGTTCAAAGAATAAGGAGAATAATTATTCTTTGAGCGTATTCTAGGACTGTCTTTAGAACTGTACAGACAACACAGATTATAAAAATACAAATTTTAGTGATTCCGCAGAGCTCATTAACAGACTGCTATGACAGACTCCAAAAAGCCAACTGCTCGTCAAATATTTTCTCTCTTTTTCATTTTCTGAGAAAGTGCAATCTGAAACCTAGTAAAAAAAATTCTGTATTTCCTCACACTCTTCCTCCTTTGATTGTTTTGAGAATTCGTTAGTGTAAAGCTCCAAAAGAAAACAAATTACACACAAAGAAAACAAACTGATTAAAAGAAAAAGTAAGCAAAAACTGCAGCTCACTTGAAGTCTCCATCATGATATTTGCCGAACGCTTGCAACAGAATGGTGATGACAGCCATAATGGGTTTTATAACACAGAACTGCAGAGTTGCCTAGAAGCCACAAAAAAAAAACACACAAAGTTGTCAAATTTCAAAGAGCAATCACTTTTACATACATGTAAACTCTAAGCCTTTTTGACTTTAAGATCTATTTGCCTAACAAACACTGGCACACAGCAGCGAAAAGGATGCAAGAGTATTTAAAATCAGGCGGGGTTTATATAAATAATCAGGATTTAACACATGAAAAAAAAATCTGAAACTTAACAAAATCTAACACATTTAAGGAAGCAATGGATACTCACCATGCATTGAACATTCCACAAAAGCTATAGCAAAAAGCAGTATTTACAAACCAGAAGCAGATTTGCATTTGCCTCTCCAAACTTAGACATATAGATCTGGTGGGGAGCTGCGTCAGCATGCGTAAGCTGCAGAGTCAGGTGTGACACCTGAAGAAGGCTCTGCGGCCGGAATGTTGCGTTTTTTTTCATGGAATAAACCTATGACTTGTTCCTTTGCATTATATAGATCTATTCAGAGTATCTTTTCTCAAACGCACAGTGCGTAAATAGAGATTTAAATTTAAACTTTAACAGCAAAACAAGCCTCTTAGGCAGAAATCAATTGTGAAATTATAGCTTGAAATGTTGGTTTTAAATGTTATGCTTCAGATCAAATACTCATTTAAGAAACTTACACAGTACTAGACTCTTTTTTTCACCTTTAACAGAAGTAATGATGAAATTATTTTGATAATTTCAAATGGGTGTTTCACTGTAGATATAAATGCCTTCTGTTTTATATTTATAAAGTATAATTGTATTTTTTGTAAATGAAAACAAATGTAGGGATTATTTATCACTTCTGATCAAAACAACCCTGTGATTTTATTCAGCAAACCAGGATCTGCAAAGGTTCGACTGCTTTTTGCACTTCTAGCATTAGATTTTAATGGCAATTGTAAAAATATCCCATCATAAACATCATTAGATATTCTGGCCAAGAAAAGGAATTGAATATTAAAGCACGTTTTCCTGTTTTGGTTTCAAATTTGTCTACAGAAAATGGAGCAGCTCCTCTGCCACCTATTTAACTCAAGGAACACAAAGCAGTGCTTTGAAAACACTGCACGTCTTCAGTCTATCATAGCTACTCATGTGTTTATCTGTTCCCATTTATCCATAAAATATTCATTTTCATATTCTGGTCAATTTTTTAAGACATACCCTTCAAGTATAATTTCCATCAGTGCTAGAGACTCCCCCCCAGCAGAATCCCAATGCACCTTTTTAAGAGTGTAAACCTGACAACTCACATTACCTTACTTTGTACACTGCCATGGAGGTTCAATTTGTTTTCACAGTACACGAGTGAATGAAATGATAGAGGTCATCATTTTCAGCAGAGACAACAAAGGACAGAGACACCCTGGGTGTCTGACAAAAGAAGAAAGGATTAAAAAAAAAAAGATAACATGGTATTCACTAGAAATGGACACAGTTATTTAATAATGTATAAAACCCATGAACTGCTAATGTTAATAATAACTGCATATTCTTTTAGGTATGCAAAGGAACAAGTCAAGGATTATTCCATGATGAAAAGAGAAGAAAATAAACAACGTGTCGCCTGTGGAACCTTCTTTGTGCGTGAAGACACCTGAAGAAGGCTCCACACATTGTGTTTCTTCTCTTCTCATGAAGGAATAAACCTATTATTTGTTCCTTTGCTGCCTACGCATGATGATGTAGTCCTCCGCTTGAACCATCTTTTAGATATTTCAGGAGGGGAGCTGTGTCAGCAGGCGTAGGCTGCAAAGGAACAAGTAACAGGTTTATTCCATGCTGAAAAGAGTAGAAAGAAAACACAACGTTTCGGCCGTGGAGCCTTCTTCAGGTGTGAGCAAAAAGGTATATCTTTTAGACTTGTTGTTTAACTAAGCTTAAGAGTTTTCACTTTCACAAACCTGTTTGCAGAATCGCAAAAATCCGATGGAATAGCTCATTCCTCCCAAACAGCAGGTGCCATACAAGCAGCTTGACCTACACACAGAAGAAAGACAGTAATGAGTTCTTGTTCTTTTCTTGTGATTAAATACAATCGCTCATGCATCTTTCCAGTTTGATTTTCAGCCAGGGGGTAATTATGGATACCGGACTGGGCAAGGTTAAAAAGAATTCCATTATAAATTAATCTTGCCTATCTAGCTGTAAATATATTCTTCAGCATTAAACATTCATGAGGTCTATATAATCTGAGTTGAGATTGACCAGTTTGCATAATAAGACATAATAAGAGTATTACATTCATTAGTCTCACATGCAGTTCTGTCTCAGGAGTAAAACCCTGATGTTCTCAAAGTAGAGAAATATTAAACTGTTTTTAATCATATTTAAGTGAATTTCTATTTGACTGATTCCAGGCAAAAGCGTATTAAAGAAATTTCCATTCACAAGAACATCTATCTTCCACAGACTGACCAGCAGTATATGCCAAGTGGTATGCATATCCTCAATTAACAGCATGCAGGGACATGCTCATTAGTATCAAATTGTACGTGTGTACAAACAGATTTTAACAGGCCAGGTTTGCATGTACTAATCAAATACAGTACAAAGGAATGTTATAAATTAGAACATTAGTACATCAGAGCAGCACTGAAACATCCCTTAGCAGCATGCAACTTGTATTCCCCAAATATTAAGAAATAGGGTTGAGATACTCGGTCAGTGTTCTCCAATGAGACCTTCCTTTAGGTCATTGGAAAAAAATGGATCCTTTAAAACAGATTAAATGAAAGAAAAGCCTCCCCCCCCCCATTTTTCAGGCACTGTGGCTACAAAAACATTCTCAAACACTGCCAAAACACACAACGGCAACGAAAAGGCCTACGACACTTTTCTTTATTGATTTCCAACAAAGTTCACACACTGTGCATCGTTGAAGTACCATAAAATCAAGGGAACTTAATTACAAAAAAAAAAACATGAAAGGAAATAGTAATACAAGATCATAACGACACAGATACAAAGCTATCTCTAAGCTTCAATTCCTTTCTTCTCTCTAATTACAACCATCCCCCCAAACTTAGTCATCCTCCCCACCCAGCACAACTGCCCTCCTCCTTCAGTGTGTAGGACCCCTACAGAGATTCCACCTTAAAAGGGAACTGCGACACTATTGTTTATATTTCGGGGTTAGAAAGAATCGGCACTGATGAGTGCCGTTCAAACCTTAATCTTAAAAGCAAAATGGACACAGTAACGTGTTAAACCCCCAGTTTACATCACTATATAGAATGCATTTCCAGGTCTGTGCAGCGCTATATTGCCATCATTGTCTGCTATTCAGATCGGCAACAAAACATCTGGCGACGTGGTGGAGCCTCATTCCATTGTAAGCAAGCAGGGTTGTGAATACATCCGTTTTAATCCAATAGAAATATTGCTCTCGACTCCAAGACAGCTATATTTGTCTGAAAAACTCACTTGTGAACTTTGCATGCAGATCACATTAGATTCATCATTACAGTAACTAGTGAACGGGAAGGGACAGTTTAAGTCACAATTCTTGGAAACTCTCTTGTCTGTGATGAGACCAGGGGACTTCCACAAATTTCCAGATTAATTCAGAAGTTTTAAAATGTTACGTTACTGTAAATTATTTTATTATGGAGATTTAATAAGATGTAATATCCAGTCTGAGAAACCGGGACTGCAGTTCCCCTTTAATACACATTGACCCTGAAGAAACAATTCTGTTAACTTCACTGGCAAAAACTACAGTTTCAGGAAAGATCTTTAAACTCTGTATACAGCCCTGATATAAATTCCTGTTTGCATGTACAGATGTCTCAAAATGTACTTAAATATTGGCATTCTAACTAGTTTGGATATACTGTTTAGAAACGCTTCTAGCTTATTTTATTCCCTGCATATCAACAACACAATGTATATACACATTTCCCTAAAGGTTCTCCTTCATAGCAGCCTCCTTTTCTCAGTGTTTCTCCGAATAGAGGGATTACAAAAATTTACGACAGTCATCCAAAATCTCAACTGCTAAAAACACAGACAAGAGTTATGAAGTGCTATGCACACCAAGCCACTCCCCACAAAAAAAAAACTCAACACCCTTTAAAACCACATAGCAGTCATAGAAAGACAAAGGTATTTCTATGCTTCTTGGGGAACTCCCATCTTGAAATGCAGCAAGCTACATTGCCATCTTCCAGGCTGCTCACAGGGGATTTCAAAAGCCAAGAAATGCTGGGCCTTGGCAGGACTGGTGTAGAAACCTCAAAGACTGAGTTTCCCAATCCCGGGCCTGTGACCCCACACAACTGCCTGTGTCTGTCCCACCTGAGTACTCCACGACATGACTGAATCTAAACAGACATTATAATTGACTTAATTTGTATCTTTTCATTACTCTCGGTTCCTAAACATGTAGGAGGTTGCCATTGGCCTTTTGTGCTCTTTTGTGCTCTAATTATCCAGCCTTAGAGCACAAAGCTTCTAACCAAGCAAGTGACGGGTTCAATCGAGGATTCATTTCAGTAAAGAGGTCAGCTGCAACGAAAATCATCGAGTTTCTGATCACACAAACAGTGACCCCACACTGGGGCCTGAAGCTCGTACGGTTTCGTGTAAAAGAGGGGATCCATGCTGCAGCTATCAGTTGTCCAATCATTTTAACTGATTTATTGACAATATACAGATAAACAACACAGACCCCAGGGTCAGCCTTTAAGTAGAAGGATGTGATCTACTACAGAGACGCACTGTTGGGATTTTGATGCAGTTTCACATTGTGTGTATTGTAGTGGTAAAACCGAAGAGGTGAAAGCACTTACTGAATGGGTTTTCCTCGGATTTCTGACATGATTCCACTTTCACCTCCCAGATACTCAAAAGACAGACTGAGAAAGTTGTAAATAACAAATGCTGTAGAGCCAAGACAAAATGAAAATACAAGATTAGTAATACAAATACAAGAATACTAAATAAGATAATACATTGCCTTTCATTTATAAGCATGTCTTTGAGGTACAACATCAATAATCTGTAAGTTTCATGATTTACTGTAATTAAAACATGGTTGGAAACTGTAATAACCCAAATATTACCAAAAGCAGATATTGTATACTGCTAAGTATATGGAACGGGAAGAACAAATCAAGGTTTCTCCTTACTCATTTCATTAGACAAAGTATACAGGCCAAAGGTGTTAGGTTTGTCTGTCCTAAAAATCCTCTCTAATCTCTTGTTGCTATTTCAAGTGGTCTTAAGAAACCTAATGCTGAGATTAATACAGAGTCTGAGAAGGTATCTCAAAGAAATTGATACTGCCACATGTGTTATTTGTTTGGGCAGATGTTTCATGTGTAATTAAGCTAGACATTTGGCAATATTTTAAAGTTATTACATACATGAATACATTTCACATGTTTCTTGTCTCCTGATTTAATCCTTATGCATAAAAGCAAATAGTGTGTATTGCATTCTCAATTTCATAAGGCTTCTTTTCAAATTACAGCTAATCCTTGCTGCTTTGAGTCACCTTTTTAATTACGGAGGGAGTGCACACCTCTTGCGGATTTTAGGTCTCATTTTGCAATTGTAGAAATCAAACTGAAGATCAGGCAACAGCCGTAATCGTGATGCAATACAACGTCATTACATTTAAACCCTAAGGAAAAACTGAATGAAATTACATTCTAGATTCAACTATCAAATTAAAAATGTTTGCATGCTTGTTTCATATAAACAATCCATGAAACTTCAGTACGTCCCGTTTCATTCTGTTTTTGAGGATCACATGAAAAAGCAAGAATATTTACATGTACCATTTTATATATCCAGCTAGAATGAAGTACAGTTCTAATTAATATAATGAGAAGACATATTTAAGCGCTTTGAGAAGCCACCTTTAAAGGCGCTATATAAAATAAAGTTTATTATTATTATTATATCTTGTGGAAGGGTTCAAAATGCCACAAGAATACAGTACAACCACTATCTCCTCAACAGCTGAAAAAATTGGTCACTTTGCTACTTGAAATTAGAATAAGAATTCGCCATTACAGCACATTGCACATTATTTCATGTCAATATACCTTGTGAAAAATGGAAATTCGGCCTGGCTTTTCAGTGTTATACTTTGAATTTTGATCAGACTGTCATTATAAGCCCAGAAACACTACCAATACTAGGAGAATCAAGTAATTAATAAAGGTTAAAAACCCTCTTTAAATTACAGACTGGCAGAAGGACACGTGTTAAACGTTCCTCTGGTAATGATAAACATAACTAGGACACTATTTGCTCATATCACACTCTATCAATGAAACCAGTTTCACTGGTTATTAAATGCAGTCTCTCTTCATTGCCTACATTCCAAACACTTGGTTCCAATATTTCTTTTTCAGACGTTCACCCTAGTCCCATGCTTGTTACTTATATGAAGTTTCTAAAGGGAAGTGAATTTGTAAATGCCAGTCTATCTCTTGATCCACTAAAAAAATAAAACCGGAGAAGTGAGCAGGGTGTGTCACATTTACCTTCATAGCAGTCCCGCACGGAGTCAAAGTAAACATAGTACTGGCCATTGCTGATGAACAGCAGGCTGAGCCAAGAGTCGAAGGCATAGATCGGAACGATAAAGAGGATACGGATGATGTAGCGCTGCTCATTTGGTACAGTGTAAGACCGCAGGTGCATATAGATCTGAAAAATAAGTAAGATTATTTTTAATGTGCAGTACAGTGAAACAAAAAACAATACATGAATGTAGTCTTCAAGGAGGTGACCTGTAGTTTTAGAGAATCAATATTTTAAAAAAGGCTTCACTAAGAGTAATATTAAGGCACAGTTTTAAAAAGCAAAACATCATGGATTAGAAGATTAAAAATGACAGCGAGATGAATGAGATGCTATATCAGGCTTTTGAGTTCATCGATATAAATGTAACAAGTGCAAAAAAACATGACAAACAGGAAACCAAGCTGAGAAAACCAGCATACAAAAGGAGAAATACGGTGCTGCGAGATCCTGACACTGTTGCCTGCTGAGCTCTATTGTTTGTATACACATGCAGTTGCAACACTGGCTGTTTGTTGCCCACTAAAACATGCCGTATCGGTGCATTTAGATTTTGCATTGGTTAATCAGACGGTAGTATATTTCTCCGTTCTAACAAATTAAAGGCTCACTTTGGCTAAACAAGCACTGTATCTGACCAAACCTTATTACTGCTGGTTCCTTACAATAAACACAATTTAGTGATCACTGCAGCGCTGCTTTTCAGTCCTATGTAGTGCATAAGCATATACAGTACCATATCCATTAATACCAAATATTCTTCTGACTTTGTGATTTCCATTAAGAGGTGAAAAAAAGTTCAGCACACCTTTAATCACTTAAGCCCAGTTAAGAAAGTTTATGAAGGCCGACTTTTAAGGAGTCTGGGAATTCACTAGAGAATGAAAATGTAAATTGAATGAGACAGCTCATTTTTATACCCGCTCATCCAATAGCAGTAATGTCGTAATCCGGCAATTTATATGTATTTTCCATCTGTCAATTTAGAGTGAAGATGACATATCCTTGCACTCATTTTCTCCTCAGTACCTTACCTTTCACACATGGAACGCCATGTGATTAAACGCCCATTAGAGTGCAGACGCTTACCAGGGAGAAGCGTGATGAATTTGGCACTCTTGGAAACTGAAGCAGGGAGGCTCTCATCCTTTATTTACCCCGAGAGCAGACAAGGCCTCCGTACGTGAAGCTTCATCACACTCACCTTCCCAAGAAGCAGAGCTCTCGCCCCGGAGGAGGATTCTCCCATTACTCAATATCACACAAGCTGCACACTCACCCAGGCATGGCTAATAACAGCTACTGCAGTTTTGCTTATTTAACTCTAATAAGCCTGATTAGCTTCATCCATTCCACCTGGGATTTGACTCTCAAGTCTATGACGGCGTAAGACTCCTTTTTCCCCATGTCATATATGAAATGCATGCCACTCCACTGCAACAAACCCCACTGTTCAGGCTGAAAGGCATCAGGAGGGCACTAAGACACCCCTTCAACACGCTGGGCAACAGATGAAAGTTTCAGGGGGTGCAGGTCAGCCTTCGACCCATTTCAGCCGTGCATGCCGACTTCCGGAAGGAGCTCTTCCGTTTCTATAGTGCATTTAAGAAAAAGGAATGAGATGGCTTCTGAGTGGGTCAACTGGTAAAGGTGCTGTGGCAGGCATGTTTAGCACTCTGGTGTAGGTGTTACATGTTCAAGCCTGGGTCATGTCACTAGCTGAATGTGACTGGGACTCACTTAAGTGACCCAAGTGGTTTCCTGGTTACTTGCACATGCCACAGCAATGCTGTAGACACCTCCCTTCCAATCTCCAATCTGACCCTCCTGCACAGGTCCACACAGCTGGTAACGTCTTATTAAATAAGTGGGTCAAAAGTGGATGGGTGGGAGGAATCTGCTCCTCCCTCATTCTCCCGTGTGCGGAGGCAGAGTTCGTAGCTGCGAGCTGCGAGTTGAGATGTGGAAAAACGCAATCTGGCACCGCTCAAGTGAGCGGATGGATAACAAAAAACAACTGGCATCTAATTACAGAAGAGGACGGCGAACCATCACATTCTGAGCCACGTCGCTCCATCTGCCTCTCCTTGTATGCTCAATCCATGGCCCCTTCCTGGAGCCTGCAATCCTCTGGGTCTCAGGGTGTGTTCTCACAACAGTATGATTGGAGCCGGTCAGTTCTTTAAGCCTAGGATGCATCATAACTATAGAATTATTTATTTTAATTAAGAATGTATGAAAAATTTTGTCAAGTTTACCTTAAAATAGCAAGGTCTGATTAAACAAAGCTGTTCTACTTATGCGCCTATAAATAATTTGTGTTTCCTTCTGAAAAAAAAATCTTTCATGTCTTGCATTCCAAGAAAGGGCATCTTGCTTGCAGCTCAGGTTAAGACCCTCTGGTCTAATGGCATGATTAAAAAAAGATGACATGCATCATCTTTATCAATAGAACGGAGAATCGGTACTTCTTCCGTTTTGCATCTTCAATCGTTTCCTTTCGTGCACCATGATTGTTGGGGCTACCCTGCTACTTAGCATACTTATAAAATCATTATATTCCTAGATCATAGATAGCAACTAGTAGATAGACAGCAACTCCTTTTAATGGCTAAAAGAGAATATGACAGGAAGAAGAGGGTCCTTATTTTGGGCCACTCATCTCCAGGCACTATTAACTAACCCAATTTCATTCACCTGCTTCCCAGAGTTCCAAGTACTGTATGTGCTCACGCTCGCTTTTCTCTGGGAAGGAACGGCTTTCGAGATTTCCAAATAGATTCTGGAAGGCTAATTTGCAGAGTGTAGAAATTAAGGCAATTCAGCAGGGATGAAATTCACCTCTTTACCCCTCTCAGATCTCACCTGGTAATATATACTGCATTTAAACAGGACACATCAGATGCTTTAGGTGACTATATAAAATACCCTTTTTAGAAGCACTTTCCTAAAGGCAACGAATGAATAAAATTATAAACGGATTATCGAGACAAAAACCTCTTTAGATCTGCTTTCGGTGTTAAATGGGAAAATCTAAATTTTAGTTTGAATTAGGATGAAAGTCCACAAAAATGTACAAATAAAGAGAGCTATCACTCAAATGCAACATTCCTTCTAAATATAAAAGAATGCCTTGCTCACACCTTTCAAATATAAGAAGTTGGAGATTTCATTCTGGCCCATCTGCTTCTCTAGTCCGTTTGGTTTCTAGCAGCTAATCAATCTGAGGACTTCCTCAAACTGTTTCTTGAAAGAAGCCAGTGTACTGGTTCTGACAACATGCACAATATATTGTCTCCTCCATCTGTACCCGTTACTGCTGTTGCTTGTTTAGAGACCTTTAATGAGACCTATCATTTCTAAAACTAATTTTCATTATTCCCTAGAATCACTACATTTTCCATGTAGAAGATCCTATAAGTCTAGTATGTCTCCATAACTTTACATGCAATAGAAGGAAGATCTATTTATGTATGACACACTCGGTTCAGTTTTATTATTCTTTAAATTAGCACTACATTACCAATTTTACTGTCAATTAATACTATCTTTTGTGCTTCAAACGGAAGATCTAAATTGTCCCCCTCCATTCTCTTCTTTTTTTGACCCATCATATTCCATTCTATTTCTCTTCCGTTATAGTCTGTTTATCTGAAATGGTAAACCTTTGATTTCAACTCCTCATTTACAGTCTCAATATATACTACAAAGCATGATCACAGTAATGTTTTCTAGAGCCGACAATCCTATTGTATGTTCCCAGTCTACACGAGGAAAACTGAAGTCTTTCACTAAAACAGATCAGTTTAATATTTTATTTTCATTTACCTTCAGCCAGAATTGAGATGTGGTATATCATTAACTAGTACTAAAGCTTTAGCACATGTGGGCACTAAATTCCACCATCTGTCACAAAGCATGTGTCCCAATGCAATGTTGAACTTGCATTAACACACCAGGATTACCAAAGTAATGATTAATTTAGATATAAAAAGTAAATCTCCCCTTCATTCTTAAATCTTTTATTTTTCATTTTCATTTAACATTAAGTGGACTTAATGCATTATACTTACTGCAATTTATAATCTTGAGGGCTTCCTGGAATTTAGGAATGAACAATACTGATGTGACATGGCTTAAAGTGAAATCATGCACAGACTGATAAAAATGTTGACTTATTTTATAGTAATTTACACTGCACATCAGAAAAATACTCTTAGGTGACACTTTCAAGCAAAATCCTTCCTCCACATACTGGATCTTAAATTACACACATCATACAGCTAAAAAAAGATTTATCAGAGTATTTTGGATAAGCAATGCACACGGCATTGAATATACAGTATGCTGTTTTTTTACACCTGTTTGAGAGTGCTACACAATGTATAACAAGGCCCTGTTCTGCCAGCCTGTAACTTCAGTGGATCTCGTCTAACAGCTGCTTCACAGAAATCCAGTAAATGGAGTGCAGCACCTCAGAACTGCATGACCTTGCCCTGTCTGTCAGCAGAATGAAAGAAATGTGGAAAGCTCAACAATCGTGATAAACAACTGGTTGCAACGGGGACTAAGAGCTGTAATAACTCTTGAGACTTACACCAAGTATCTCTACAGGAAGGCTGAGATAAAAGCCCAGAATAACAATTACAGATTTTCCCATTGCTGGCAGAACCATAATGAAATGCTTCTGAACGATCTACAATGTTCAGGTATGGGCTGAACAGCTATTCTTTGTCAAAGGGATATTAAAAAGGACTCCTTTATATAGAAATCTAAAATACATTTTCTGTATATTCTTCTTTTGAAAATGTACTGCAAAACAGAGGTCTATACCTATCCATATTACTGTCAAACACGACCCTTTCTGTAAATCTTTAATTGTGCTTTGGAAGCTACCTCTGCTTTGTCCTGCCTATACAAGTGTTTTAACATACATTCACCCATTTTTTAACCACTTTATCCACTTCAGTGCTGCGGAGGAGCCAGACTATCCCAGCAAGCAATGGGTACAAGGCAGGATACACCCTGGACAGGACGCCAGTCCATCACAGGACATGCACAGACACCGACACAAACATGCACACACTCAGACCAGGGCCAATTCTCCCTTAATCCAATTAACCTGCCCATATGTCTTTGGAGTCTGAGAAGAAACCAGAATACCTGGGGGAAGCCCACACAGACCCAGGGAAAACATGCAAGCTCCACACAGACAGCACCCCAGGAACTGCACCTAGGACCCCAGTGCTACAAGGAAGCAATACTAACCCCTTCGCCACTATGCTTCTCTAATATTATAAAGGCATTCCCAAGCACCAGGAGACACTCACGATTATAAATTGCATTAAGTAGGTTGAATTAATTCACTTAAATTTAAATGAAAATGAAAAAGAACAGATTATTTTAGGAATGAACGGCACACTCCTGCTGAGCTGCTCTGGATTATTATTATTGCCTTTCACAGACTGCATTTGGCAAATTGAACTACTTTTGTGGAGAACACTTACTCCCTGAGGGGCGGAGGACTGCCAACACACCCTAACACCAGCTCTCATGACAACTCACCTGTTACCACTAACATCTTGGTATTTTGTTACAAGTAGTTCCTCCTCGTGAAAGAACTTTCTTTGTGTTCTGTTGTGTCCCATGGTTTCACTACTGATTGTGAATAGCAATTATGAAACTAATGTTTCACTATTGATTTTGAAGAATCAACTAAGAATTAACTATGACCCTATAACCTGGGTTTTGGATCCTATTTCTGTGCCACTACACAAATAAAGCTTCTATACTCATTCTTCATTTGTTCCTAAACTCACCAATGACCTCCTGGAATCTGGTCTTGTTCCTGTAGATGTAAAATCTGTTGCTACTGCATCCGAGTTAAAAAAAACTGGCTAGGATCCCCTGCATAAATTAACTACTGTTCTATTTCCAATTTGCTGTTTCTCACAAAATCCCTGGAATGGGTTGTGGCACCTCATTTACACCCTTATCTTGGATAAACTGGGCTCCTCAAACCTCTTCAAAAAGAACTGAGACAAAGCCATGAACCAGCCCTTGTTATGGGAGTTGATAATTTATTGGTAGCTTTTAACTTCTAATCTTCTCCTTCCTCACTTGCTGGTCAATCCTACCACAGCTTTAAAACTGACTGAAGGCAACACTGAGAATCGGAGGAGATATACAATGACTGAAACATTTCTGGGGGTGCTAAAGTTATAAATATGGTATGACATTCATTCTGAAAAGAATGATTACTGAAATTGCCATACCACATACGTTACCAAATAAATGAGAAATTACCAAAGGTCATAGAACATGTCTAACACAGACACAAAATAAGAACTATCTAACTTTAAAGCAATCAGTTTCCTTATATGAAGGCTCAAGCTCCTGTAAGTCAATATTTGGCCTTTTATTGTGTGCTCTTATCTTTACAGCACTGTAAACTCTGGCCAAGGACAGAACATCTGTCCATTTGCCCATTTCCAATACCAGCGTTCTCCCGGGAAGAGATTGAGTAAGAAAACCCTCACACACGACTACTAAAAACACAGCAGAACTCTCTCTCTCTCAATACAAGATGTGATGTTGGGGAAAAAACCATGCTGATATGTTTGTTAAAACATACACACAAGATAAAAAGTGCGAGATGTTTGCTATCATATTCGAAAATCAGTATTCAGCTTTCACAAAAGGCAGGAAAGCCTTACCCCACTACCTTGTAGATCTGTTTTCTGACTGCTGTCATCTCTTTGCTCCCACAGATCTAATCTCAGAGGTCTCCATAAATCATGGCAGATGGAAACTTGAAATAGCTGCTGTTTTTGCCTGGATTACAATTGAGTGGCAAATTCAATGTGCTTACAGTATTTAAAATTGCCAGCGGGTGGCCATGATACACCCAGCAGGTAATGTTTTTACTTATCATTCTACAGTGACAAAGAGAAAAATACATTTCAAGGGAGGATAATAAATGGTAACAGAGTGTCTCTTTTTCATACACACTGCCAGCACTGTCATGCATGAAAGGGTTGGGGTTAATCTTGACTGCTGCATTACTGTTTCAGAACAACATTAAGAAAAGAACATCTGTTCCTGTAACCAAAACAACAAATGTAGTGAATTAAAAAGCCAATAGCAAGAAAGAAAGCACCTTGGTTAGAAAAAGTCAAGAACACTGCTATTCTTTCTCTTCCTTAAATATACACACTTGTGTAAAATAGCTTGGTATTCCTTATTTATCCCATCTCTCCAGGGACAAAAGCAACTGTTTATGAGTGATAATGTAATCAACAAACTAACTTTGTTACCCACATGATTACTGACATACTCATGCAGACAGACTTGAATTCATATACTTGAGGGATACTTGGCTGTTTTCTAAAATTCCTTCTGTTTTCCCCATATTTATTACAATGGCTGCCTTCACATACACCCCAGCAGGTCTAAGGGTTAAGTGTAAGTATCAGGAACTCTCATCCTTTGAGCAGCAACGCTAAAAAGTGTTCAAAAGTGATTAGATAAAGTCATGACACCTTAATTCTCAAGAAAATCCCATGTTTCTTTTGCTTGGGTGATGTTTTATTTTTTTACTGGATGGCACAGTTCATTTCTTAAATTGTAATTACATTTTTAAACTATCAACAAATGCAGAGCATAGTAAAAACAAAGATTAGACTTAATATTTCTGTGTTTAGGACAGGGAACATTCCCTCACAGGTTTTTCATCTTGCGACTGTGATAGCCTGGGGGACACAGGCGGTGTGTGTGTGTGTGCGCCACTGCAAATTCTTTGGTATCTGCTTCCTGTTCTGGGTGCACAGTCCTCTCTAGATACACTTGGGGCAATACTTTGGAAAGAAAATGCCCCAAACATAGGCTTCCCTTGGCTGGAAAAGGGCACCTAGCAGGATCACCATTCCTGTGGTCAGAATGCTCTTGCGCCTCCCTGTGCAGCAACATGTGCCCCGCTGCTGGGCAATATGCTCATGCAGAATTGGGCTCCTCAAATCTCATTCCTCAAAGGCCTGTTGAGCCTTACCGACGTCATCCTTTAACGCCAAGAGTGAGATATCAAAAGTTTACATCACCAGGTCACAAGGCAAAGAAATAAGATACAAAATAAAAGCTGCCCCGCCAAATACAGACTGAAAATAAAAAAAGCGGAGAAAAAAACACCACCACCAAATACTGATATCACTGATACTGATATTACCCTAGAAACATATGCAGGAAATAGGCCGTCTTATTTTCAAGCAATATAAACATAACACTGGGTGAATTTCCACTTACCTGGTGGCAGGTCAGTAAGAGAGCAGACCAGACAAAGATCCCAGACAGCACTTGTGCCGCTGCGGTGTTCAGGAACAGCTGATCTTCGCTGATGGTTGAGTTTTTGGAAATCAAAACTGTTCCATTTCGACGGTCTGTGTCGTCTGACAACACAGACGACAGCGGCTGAGATCTCGAATCCTTTGCATATGACAAATTTGCCGTCACGAAGCCAGCTGGCATTTCCTCTCCGGAGCTGTTCATCTGCAGAGAAAATAAGGAATTTAGGAAAATAATAATTTGTAGACATGGCTCTACAGCATTTCACAGGCTCTAACTCGTTCACAAATGAAGCAGATGTTAACGTAGATCAATTGATTCATGAAAAATGTACAGTCTGAAACTACAATAAAATATGGATAATTACACAGAAACGACTGATCAAACAGAACTTTGGACTGAGAGGGGCTGAGCTGAATTCAAAGGCATAAAGGCCAAAAAGCATTACTTAATATTTACAGGAGTGTCCAGTGGTGAATATACGCACAAAGAGTATATCAAAAAGTTATGCTTAAGTTATGCCATCACCAGAACCTCTTTCGCTGTGGGCAAGTTTGTTGCTCTGGACAGAGCGACAGATCACTAAATCTCCAAAAACATTACATGGCCACACTACTGTCATCAAGGAGTAAGCGAGGAAGAACAGAAATACAATATGGAGAAAAAGGCAAAATTATTGAAAGCTGAATTGCTAGAATCATATTTTTCTTTAACTTATTTCTCACGCCAAGCCATTTAATAGGGACAATGAAATTAAAACCATTAATCCTTAAATGCAAAATTGAAATAGACCATGCAGTTAATTGACCATGACAGCACTGCTCCAGGGATAGTGTTAATTAAGGAATGTAAGTATTCCAAGGCCTTTTCAAATTTTATGGGTATTTCAAAAGGCTAACAGAAGATGTGACCCTCCCTTCATTATCACATTTTCATACCGAATTACCTCCTTTTTTTTAAAGTGAAGTCAAGTCTAGAATAACAGCGTTTACTGCTCGTTTTTGCAGGTGGCAGCACTTAAATAGTGGAAGTTGGCTGCTCAATCACGTGTTACCTCGTCTGCTGACCACTGATGGGTGGGATTACTGGCTACACTCCGTTTCAAAGGGCTGCAATTCTTAAACTAAAAGAACCATCTATATTTCTCTATTAGCAATATCGTATCACTGAAGAGAGTGTAAATTAAAGTGAGCGGCTCCTTATTAAGCATTATATATTACTTTATTAAAACAACAACAACAACAACTGAATACTTTGTTGTTCCTTCTAACTTAACGTTACTTACCTTAGAGCTCCGCCGGCACCCAAATCAATCTCAGCGCAATGTATTAGTTTCTGTTGTTACCAAGTAACTGAGTCCCGGCGAAAAGTAATTGCTGTCACTGCGTCTTTTCTACCTTTGCAAAACAGGCACTGCAAGCTTTCAGCACCTATAACGGCGTTTTACTTAACGAGGTTAATAAATCTGTTCACCTCCGACGTCAGCTAAACTGCGTTATTTTCCAAGGGCTACATCTCCAAAAATCAAAAACAGACTTTAAACACTCGATTTCCGGAATCACCGAGTGCGAAACATCGTAAGGTTTAAGTGGCTTCCTGGCCAGGTAGAGCTGTCAGTTCTCCTGTAACTAAAAAAAAAGTTTAATACTTCCTTATTTAACAGTCGTCTACTTCGGAAGGTTAAAGTCCACAAAGCATTACGTGGTTGTCACTAAAGCAACGATTTCAGCACCTTTATTAAAAAAAAAATATATGCATCTTTAAAAAAAACCCGTTTAGCTTTAAGATTGGCTCACTCACTCGCCAAGTTCGGCCTGATTTACCTGTTGAGCGGCTGGACAAAATGACACCTGGCTCGACAACAGGTGCTCCAGTATCGCA